TTTTGCTCTGATAATGTATGTCACAGTACAGACGAAAACTTAGCGCAGTTTCATCGGGGTCGCAGGAAAGTGAGCCACGGACTTTTTGGCACAATTCAACAGTCTTCCCTACGCTGCAATCCTCCTTCGGTTTCCAGTGAGAGCACATCACGAATTCTTTCCAACCAACCTTCCCTTCAAAATTGAGTCATACAACGATATTTCATTAAGGAATTCTTCGAAGTCCATTTTTCCTCATATCTTCAGTAACTAAGCCTAACGTCTATTTCAGCGATGTATTAAGTAAGCATGTTTTCGTGTCTTATTCTTTCTGACACCTTGGCCTACTCTGTCTGCCCAATAAGCAGAGCATAAACTATCTGTGACCGAGTCAGCAGCAATATCACACCGATACAGTTGGATGGCGTGGTCCGCCTGGACGACTTGCTCAGTGCACTGCGGGGCTCCAGGCCTAAGAATGAGAACGAGGCAATGTGGCTCCACTAAGGCTGGCAAATCGGCCAACTCAACGTCGCCTGTTGCTGTCGCAGCCTGTGGCTTAGAATCGGGCAAGGGGCACATTGAACAGGAAGTATGCACCAACCAGATCTGTCCAGGTAGGCTGCATCATTATTTTAACGATGAGACCACAAATTTGATAAAGTGAATACGATTAAATCAAATTCTTGCTATCGAAAATCTTAACTATTTGATTGGCGATTCCAATTTCAGGGAAAATATAAAACCACATTCCTTTTATCGCTGTTTTATATAGTGATAGTATGAAGGCTTGTAATTCGTTAGACATCTAATGTATTACCTTGTGGAATTTATGTATTATTTTTGTTATAGCATCAGATTCGTCCCTAAATTCTTAAGCTTTTTCTTAAAAGGCCCAAGATAACTTGTGAAAATTGTCATGTTTCCTGATATTTCAGTAGTAATTTTGTTTTTTATCTAGACTTTTCTGAGGTGAAGAATAAAATGAGGTGCAAACGACTGTTAGCTAGGCCATAGGGATCTTAAATTAACTTTAGAATAACTTATAAATTTTTTCGCTTAACAGTGTGATTTAATATCAGTTCTAGAAGGATCATTCTGTATGAAATGAGTAGAGGGTTAATGAGCGTCAATTTTGGAGGGCAGACAAAATATAAATCGATTTAATTTATTAAATTAGGGCTCGTCTTTGTTTCAATCACCTCTTGCCAGTTATAGCCAAAAATTTGTTTTTGTTGTCGTGTTTACAAATGGACACATGAATGAGTTTCTAATAATTACTATTCACTATATTTATGGAGCCAATATCACTTACAACAATAAAGATACAATATAAATAGGCGGTTATGTTCAATAAAACATCTGGAAGTATTCCCATTTGTTGTTGATTCGGACAAAGAGAGTACAATCATTTTTATAAGAAATTTCGAACGAAAGCCTCGCAAGCCTTATCAAGTGCCTCCAGCATTAGCATTAGGAGTATTATGTCCAGAGCTTTTATATTTATTGTCATTTGAGGAGGACAAAATATATTACGCATACTACCGTCACTTGAAAGACAATTGTGAAGCTTCAAATAAAACTGATTTATACGCTTCATGTCTAACAAGTTTTGCACTATTTTTATTTCATTTCTTCCACAATCTTGTGTCACTGTTAATATTTAGTCAAATTATAATTAAGCTTAATTATTTAGCTGATTAACTGATATAAGGTAATTATCATAGCGTATCTAAACTCATGGATTTTTTTTAATTCAAGATTTTTTATTAATGACGATAGGATGATCCATAAGGAATCTTTACACCTAGTGTAACTCGACTTTTAATTTCGAAGGAATTTATGAATTGGATTCAGCAGATACTTTTGGAACGGGGACTGTTGGAATGCGAGAAGAAATCCCCGGTTCGCCCACCTGTGACTTCAATGAACCTGTACTAAGCTTATCTATCTCACGTGACTAATTCCTTGCAACCAACTTTCCATTCGAAATTAAAATTCGAGTCAAACTAAATCACTAAGGGACTCTTCGAAACCCAGCCTTTCTATATATATCCTTACATCTATCCCTA